TCGTTCTATCCAAATCCCAAAAAGTAGGATTATGAGAAACACCAAATGCTCTTTCAAGTCCATTCAAAATTTCGTCGTCAATCAGCATTTGGACATCTCTTTCACAAAGAATAACAAGTTCACAATTATCAGGTACTTTGAAAGAATCATTTCCAATAAACATTCCACTGGAGTAACAACGACTCTGATTACCCAACTCATTAGAAACATTCAATGATAACTTTGTACTAACGATAATAAGCATACAATGATGATAATCCATTGCACTGGATAAGACTTGATCATAAACAGGATCTAAAAATTTCTTGGCTTCATCTATAATATCTGACCAGCCAATTCCTTCCGACTTCCAGCGTCCTTTACAAGCAACTCCAACAGTAAGAACTTTGGGTTCCACAGGAGATTGTAATTTGAATATAATATCAGGACTATGAGAAGTAGCGTCCACTGGAATGTAAACAGTCTCTAAATAAAGTGTCTCTCGAATAATCTTATTCCATTCAGTACTGGCAAAAGTTCTTCGACTCTTGTTCGATTCATTTCTTGTTTCTCTAGAACTAACAACAGACTTGATATAGTGAATAGGTGATATTGTACTGATTGGAAGTTTCATTTGTTTCCATATCGGAGACATCTGACACAACAATTCCCTCAACTCATTTCGATTCTTTGAAGACAACATCAAAACTAGTCGTAAAGCAACAATTCCTTCAAATACACGACACTTTGAATAGAAGAAACAATCTACTGGTTCGACATCGAGTGATCCAAGAAGTATCTTTTCCAAAGAAGATATGGAAGGGTCGTTCTTGAAGATTACAACAAATACTTTCGGAATTAGGACTTGAAAAGTATTTTCGTCAATAGGATATCGATATAATCCCATTTCAGTGACTGCATCATATAAAAAGGACTCCGAGGTCAATCTATCATCTACTTTAGACGGTATACGATAAAGAGCCATCATCAAAAGTAAATCAAAAACACTTCTTCTATCTTCGTCCAAATTCAATATTCGTTCCACAAATGGTTCAGCACAAATTCTTCGGAAATCGTAGTCATTCATACAAGTCAAACATTCTTCTTTCGATATGAAAGGCTGATTTCTTGGTATTATATAATTCAAAAGCATATTTACTGCACGAGTCAACAAACCAGGAACTCCACCTGTACATTCCAATAATGAGTCTGCCAATTCATTTACTGAAAATGAAGAACTACATAAGACATTACAAACCGGAACTTGAGTAGGTGTCTTTAGAAGACTTCTTTCAAGGAATTCAACGATACTGGAAGCGTCCAAAGGTGATAAAGGGATAAAATGTAGTATAACTCTCGATAGCCCAAAAGCCACATCATTCTTAATACTTAAACCCTTGCTTTTCCCAACAACTATAAAAAACAAGTCGGGTTCTTTGCACAATTGACTAATGATACCGAAAAAGTCATTGTAAGGTCGAACCACACCTTTGTCATTCTTCTCCAGTTCAAACAAAGTTGCCTTTGTATCAAACACACCAACTTCGTCAAATGCCACCAAAAGATATTGATCGGAAGGAATGCCCAAAGTCTTCCGTAGCTCCGGAATTAGAAAGCTTGGATAGGGAGGAATGTGTCTGTAGGCTTCATCAGGCTTCATAAACGGTAGACCCATCTGATTACAAGCTGATCGGTACAACAAATAGTAGACTGCCCACTCAAGGCTGCGATTTTCCTCGATGGGTCGAGTTGGCTCCAACTCTCTTAAATTGACGTACAACATTGAAGCCCTTCTTAATTTCTCCAAAAAGGCTCTCCTCGAAGGGTCCGAAGCAAATTTCGACAGAAAAGTATCGCCAAACCTTCGCACCAACTCCAAATAGTTATGACAAAACGTAGTCTTGCCAGAACCGAACATGTGCGGAGCGAATGGTATGGTCAAGCGATAGTCGCAACTACTTGTTACACCCCTGAGTTGTTCTCTGTTACTATGAAGATCATACAGTTCTTTTGTCACTCGAACAACATCTCTTTCACGATCTACCACAACAGACTCAAAGTTGTCCACAGCTTTCCACTTTTCATCCAAACTCGCCATCGCCAAAGTGAAATTAAACAATCTTCTGTTTATTTCGGAGTACAAATATAAATAAATGAACGATTGACTGTTTGTCGGTCACAACAACAACAAGGAAAACAGTAAAGGATACCAATCCAACTTCTTCTCTTTATCAACTGATGACTATGTCATACCCTTTATGGCTTGGACTGAGATGACTTGAACTATGGAAGAACGATCAATATGGCTTTTTCAACTATCGATATTCTTATTCTCGTATGCTAATATAATGGCAACTCTCATAGGGTACAAGAAGGATTGGAAGGAAGCCAATGTTTATTTCACAAGTTTTTTATGCTCTTTGAGAGTATAAAGCTATTAAACATGGCCCATTCTCACATAGATAAGAACGTTTCTTTCAGAATTTTCGAGAGTAGTCATGAGAGTTCCGAGTGATATAGATTGTTCATGAAGAATTTGTTCCGTAGACGTCTCTCTCTAGATTTTCTGTATTTTATGGAATAGTTTTTACGTCACCTTTGCTTCATTTCGAAACACGGAACTAGATTATGAACCAAGTCATTCTCTTCTGTAGTCTATTCAAAAGCTCCAGTTGAAGTATATTATTTAGTAGAAATGCAGAAACCCGCAAGCATAACATTCTTTTATTCTCAGCAATCATCAAATTCCTTTCTCACGATATCATGACAAGTAGCAGTTTATCACAAAAGCTACAAAAGTTGATGATAGCAAAAGACAAACCAAAACAAATGTGCAAAGAAGGATCCAAAATATTCGTGATTTTATCAAATCTCAGAAACAACATTGACTCACACAAGTGTATCATCAATACTCAATTTCTGTAAGAGTCAATAACTCCTGTTTCTTTCTCCTCTGAAAATAGTGGCATTTGATACTGTGACTTCTGTTAAGAGGAGAAAAGATATTTTTCAAGAAATTCAATTCAATCGAATTGAGTCTATTCTATCGATTCTCTTCTCGTATCTTGTCATTGCATAGCATTTGAATCATAGTTGAATTCCTTCTCCTCAATAGTCGACTATACATTTGAGGTGCTTTTGAAGGTAAACATGACCGTTTAGTTTAAAATGTTTTGCTGCATCCTCTTGTACGATAAACTTTGTAAAAACCACAACTTTTAAAGATATACAAGAAAGCAAACTATAAAAAGTACAAAGCTACTTTAGGAGCGAGATAACTCCAAGAGGTCTATTATCTCTTTCAATATAAAAAAAGGTAAAACTTTTAAAAGCTCTGTAAATTCAAAGAACGATTTGTCCAGTTGAGTCCTATTTTTCTTCCATTCTCAACCATCAGCTCATTGAATAAGTGAGTCACTATACAAAAGTTCCTTGCGTTAGGCACTTGGAAGAAGACTCTTGCGAAATATAACCTGATAGGTACACTAGTAGAGGCTTCCTTTTGGATATTAGTGACGAGAATCAAAGACAACTCAACGTTTCGTATAAAAAACGGGTCTATCAATAGAAGGAATGTTCATTTCTACTAGGGACAAGTCAAACTTGAAAAAGAAGAGAAACGCTGTTTTATCCAAGTTGCTCTACAGCGAATAAAAATGTCGTCAACTCGCAAACAATATTCAGCAGAATAAGATAAAACAATTTATCTGATTCCTTTGTTGAGTCAAATCTCAAATTTATATTGTGATTGTTATCCAAACCGGTAAAGGTCTTGTTCTTTTAAATATACTCGATAAATTTCGTCTATTAGTAAAAAAGAATATAAATGTAGAAATAATGGAAAAATAAGAATCTTTCATCTCTTCTTGGCAAAGTAAAAAAGAAAGGTGAATCTTGAAATATATGTGCAAGGAGAAGTAAAAGCGTCACCACTTTTACTGTTGTTATACCAGTCAAAACTCTGTACAAGTTGCTTATGAAGAGAACAAAGCGAGACCCTTGTAACTTTTGAGGCTCGATCCTCCTTGTCGTAAGTAGTTTATGTATTTGTACATAGACAAAAGAATTCAAACCTTTGGTCAGTTTTTTGTTGTAGCCTTTCCAACTCTATACTTTCCAACTCTAGGGTTGAGTAT